ACATTTGCATAGAACCATCCTTTTTCTTCAAAAACAAGATAGGAGCATCCCAAGGTGACACACTGGGCCGAATGAAGCCCAATTCCTGTAACTGTTCCTTCAACTCCTTCAACTCAGGAGGAGCCATACAATATGCAGTTATAGAGATGGGCTGAGTGCCCGACAACAAATTTACCAAAGTCGATATCTCTGTCAGGCGACATGCTCGAAAGATTAGTTGGGAAAACATGAGGGAAATCCCTCACTACTGGGACTGACTCAACTGTTGGGGTATCAAGACTAACATCTCCACATAGGCTAGGTACACGTCACACCCCTTCTCAACCATTCGTTTAGCTTTAAGAAATGAAATAACTCTACTAGGAGTGTAATCTAAGGTACACCTCCACTCTAATCGCGGTAAACCCGGCATAGCCAGTGTCACGGTCTTGGCGTGACATTCAAGAATAGCATAATGGGGATACAACATGTCCATGCCCAAGATAACATCAAAGTCTACCATGCTGAGCAACAATAAATCGGCTCTGGTCTCAAAACCACTAAGAGCAATCAAACACGAGCGATACACGCGGTCCACAACAAGAGAATCTCCCACAGGAGTAGACACATAAACAGGGGAACTCAAGGAATCCCGACATACGCCCAAATGCGGGGCAAAATAAGATGACACATAGGAATAAGTGGAGCCTGGATCAAATAGAACCGATGCATCTCTATGATAGACCGGAACAATACCTATAATGACAGAGTCGGAAGCAACTTCCTCTAAACGAGTAGGAATGGCATAGTATCTGGCCTGGCCTCCCCTTCTAGGGCGACCTCTACCTCCCCGACCTCCACCCCGAGCTGTCTAAGCAGGTGGAGTAGTAGCTGGTGTTGGAATCATGGCCTGAGGGCCCGGTGGAGCATGCGGTCCCCGAGAAGTCTATAGAGGTGCACCCCTCCTAAGTCTGGGGCAATCCATCACCATATGGCGAGTGTCGCCATACTCAAAACAAGCTCTAGGAGGGCATGGCTGTTGTGGCTGACTCAGGCCAGGTCTGCTGGACTGACCGCTAAAAGCACCTCGTGCAGGAGGCACACTAGATAGTGGAGGTGCATAATAAGGCTCCTAGGGCCTAGAAGTAGCTGGAATACCACTGGCGGCTGGAAGAGCTGAATGAACAAGGCGACTCACATAGCCCCTACCATGTCGAACTGCAGCTGGAGCATGAGCACCAGAATAATGGCCAGACTCTCGAGACCTCTTGGCCTCTCTCTCCTCCCTCTCCCGATCAAGCATGTCCTCTACTCTCCTAGCAATACTCACAACCTGCTGGTACGAGATATCCATCTCTAACTCCCGGGCCATGCTAGTCCTGATGCTGGGTTGGAACCCCTCAATAAATCGATGGACCCTCTCTCGAACTGTAGAAACAAAGGCCGGTGCATGTCTAGCCAAGTCACTGAAATGAACTGCATACTCTGACACAATCATAGCACCCTGGCGCAACTGCTCAAACTCCACGCGCCATACGTTCCTGAGGCTCCGAGGGACATACTCTCTCAAAAACATAACCGAGAACTGAGTCCATGTAAGTGAAGCTACCTCAGCTAGACTGTCCAACTCATAAGCATGCCACCACTGATAGACTGCTCCTCTAAGCTGAAACACAGTGAAAGAAACCCCACTCAACTCTACTATGCCCACAGTACGGAGGATACGGTGGCACTCCTCCAGAAATCCCTAAGCATCCTCTGACGCTAAGCCACTGAATGTAGGAGGGTGTTACTTCTTGTACCTCTCGAGCCTACGCTGCTCCTCCTCTAAAGCTGTTGCCCCTACCCTCGGGCTGAGTTGGGGCTACAGGTGGAACCGGTATAACCTCTGCAATTTGATCAACCTGAACCCGCTGCTCTGGGGTACGGGCAGCGGAAGTCTGTGCTCCTCCCTCTGCCTGAGATGTGGCTGGAGCAAGGGGAATCAACCCTGCCTGAGCTAGAGCCGAAGATGCTCTGGGACTGTGCAAGGGTCTCCTAAAGAGCTGGTGTAGTAGTAGGCGTCTCAGGTTCTTGCGCTCTGACTGGAGCAACTGGTGGCTCCTCTATAGCGGCTCGCTCGGGTGCTCTAGCTGTACCACGTGGGCATCATCGACCTCTACCCCGGCCCCGGCCTCTGGCAGCTCTAGCAGGGGGCGCGAGTGCCTTGTCATCTCCGGCTGCATGTGTCCTCACCATCTGTGAGAGAATAGAAGACAGAAGTTTAGAATTTTGAAGTCAACAAATTTCGCACGACAAGGAATCAAAAGAAGTAAAATTTTCCTAACAGTTCCATAGCCTCTCAAAGATATGTACAGACGTCTCCGTACCGATCTGCGAGACTCTAATAAACCGGCTTATGACTCGAGACCTAGAGCTCTGATACCAACTTGTCACGACACAAATTCTCCCTCCGTGAATTTGTCGTGACGGCACCTATTCTCTACGACTAGGTAAGCCTAACATTTGCAGAAATGAAATGAAGAACATAAAAATTTACAACTAGGAGTAACAGATAACTTAAATAAAGCATTTGAGATGACGCTCGGCATATTCAATAATCAACTCCGGAAATATACACAACCCTCCCAAGACCCGGAACACCGTAAGTCACAAGCTTCTAAAAATCTCTAACTGTTCTACACATCAGTGTCTAAAGAAATAAGAGAAGAATTGACATAAGGGGATAGATGGGGACTCCAAGGTCTGCGGACGCGTCAGATGTACCTTGAAGTCTCCTAAACAGTAGCAACCATGCAACTAAACTCGAGGCTGGTAGGAGGTACCTGGATCTGATACGAAAAACATGTGCAGAAGAATCGTGAGTACACCATAACGGTACCCAGTAAGTGCCAAGCCTAACCTTGGTCGAGTAGTGACGAGGTCAGGTCAAGGCTCTATTGGTATACCTTCGCACATGCGACCTCTGTCCTTTTCCTTCCAAGCCGCACCTGCATCCCTAGGCTCGCTTCTGCGGGCTTGCACTTGCGGTCAATCTTGCGCAGGTGTGATGACACCAGGTGCAGCAGCTTCAGCCATTCTTCCAAAACCAAGTTTGATCCGTTAACCATCTGAAATCAACCCGAGGCCCCCGGGACCTCAACCAAACATACCAACTAGTCCTAAAACACAATACGAACTTAGTCGAGCCCTCAAATCACATCAAACAACGCTAAAAATACGAATCACCCTCCAATCCAAACTTAAAGAACTTGAAACTTCAAATTTCTACAACCGATGCCGAAACCTATCAAACCACGTCCAATTGACCCCAATTTTTTCACACAAGTCACATTCAACATTACGGACCTACTCCAACTTCCGGTATCGGGATTTGACCCCGATATCAAAAAGTCCACTACCGGTCAAAATCTCCAAAAATTTGACTTTCGCCATTTCAAGCCTAAATAAGCTACAGAACTCCAAAACACAATCTGGACACACACCTAAGTCCAAAATCACCTAACGTAGATAACAAAATTTACGAAACTCCATTTCGGAGTCGGATTCACACAGTTCCGACTATAGACGAAAATCCTAAGACTTAAGCTTCCGTTTAGGGACTAAGTGTCGCAAAACACTCCAAAACCAATAATGAAACCTTCTGGTAAGTCACATAGGCTGAAACAAATACGGGAAAAGCAGAAAATAGGGGATCAGGGCTATAACTCTCAAAACGACCGGCCGGGTCGTTACATAAAGCTATTTCGTGAGGGTGTCTTTTCTCTCGTGGCTAGAAGTAAAAGGGTTTTTGTTAGCCCCGTTTTGCTGCTGCCCCCACTAGTGGATTAGTGGGTGTAGAAAACATGCCTTTTCCAGTAAAATGGAACTTTGCACGTAAGTTTTCTCTTCCTTCTTTTTTTAATGCCTCGAGCTCCTTTATATAATCGCATATTCATTTTTTCAGCAACCATGGAGGTCTTCGAAGAAATTCTTGACTTCCCTGCTAGGGCAAAAAAATGTTGGCTGCTGCTCCCATGGACAAAAGATCTTGAAAATTTCTTTCACAGAAATTTGGTTCGAAAGTGAAGACTCACGGTACTCTTTATTCTCGCAGTTTCTTTCATTATTTACTCGTTCATATATCACTTTTTCATCACCCCTTTCTTTATTAGGGTTTGCTATTCATGGCATCAGGTCCGCGTCTGTTCCCTCAACTTGGCTTTCTGTAAGTCTTGCTCAAGAACAAATCTGAGTGCTTCTTCCTCCAAGAGAAAAAATGTTGAAGTTTGTGGGTCTGATGAAAAGGATGTTGAAGAGGATTCCTTGGTGAGAAAATCACGTATTAGAAGACGCGTGGTTTCAGATGATGAAATTGTTGTTTCTCATGATCCCCCATCAAGTTCAATTCCCTTCAGACTTGTTGATGAGCCGGAAGGTGTTCTTTTAGAAATTTTCGATGAAGATGCTAATAACTTAGTCAATCCCCCCTTCTAGTCCTATTGAAAGGTTATTCGCCCATGGCTTTGAGGGTGAAGAAGGACTCGGGCTTGTTACCGAGTAGTTGCCACTCACTTCTCTTCCAGTTTTGCCCGCTGTTAACCCCATGTGTCTTTGCCTAGTGTTGTCTCAATGATTGCTCCCGCTGTTGCTCCTCATGTAGAAGCTGAGCCTTCTAGCAGCAGACAGAGTATGAGAAAAGTCGTAATTGAAGTCCTCAGGGTGAAAATTTATTGAGAAAATCTGGACAAGCTGATGTGTGGTTGAAGCCGTTATTAGGACATGTGGATAACAAGAAGTTGGAGGGTCATAGTTCTTTGACATTACTATATATGGATTTGGAAAATAATTTGGCATGATTAATTAATGCTAAGGCAAAATAGGAAAAGATTAATTAATTTTCTCTTGATATGCGAAAAGTGACAAATAAAAATGAAAATGTATTTTTTGATTACTTGATAACTAAAATTAAAGGAGAGAGTATAAAAGGGGATGTAACAAGGAAGAAGATGAAATGAAAAGCTCTTTCTCGAATTACTAAGCGGCTACCTGGGTGAAGAGAATTAGGTCGCCGCGCTATCCAAGAAAAAGATGCAAATTAAAACGCTTTGTGTTTACATTCATTATATATGTAAGACCCTTTAACAGTAGTAATAATTAACCATCGTATTCGCATGGGCCGAATTACGTACTAAAGATGATCTCCGTTTCTTTGCTGTCGAAAATGAGTATTTACGATGTAAATATTGGCGGTGACACTGTCATCACAAGAGTGGCGGACCGTATAGCCATTGTGAACCTAGGCATTTCCGAACTAAAGGCTGAATTGAATTCTTCAGATTCAATTGTTGGAATTGATAGTATAAATGACCTAGCTAATAATAATACTAAATTTGGCGGAGATCTTCTGCTGCTTTATGTAAAGAAGCGGTGCTTAATCATTCAATATAGCCGCCTGCTATCTTTGGAAAAGGTACGTGGAATTCCCGATTCTCTTCTTCAATTCCTGCAAGACCCGAATATCGCTTTTGTAGGTCCGAGAAACATAAACACGAAATGGCTCTTCAACAGTATTAATCCTGGCGGTTTCAACTGGAAATTCGAGTTTAGGACAGTAGTGGATATAGGTTATTTGGCTGCAAAGGTTCTTAAGAAGCCAAAGCTTCTCACTAGTACATTAGAAGAAGTGGAGGTTGAAGCTGGAGTTGATATTAAGAAACCTATCACTAGTAATGGAGCAATGCGTGAAAACTGGACGTTTCTGAAGTTCTGTCGGATGAGGAAGTGAAGTATGCAATGTATGAAGTTTATTCATGCTACCAAATTGCTAGCAAGTTTTTGGATGTCAGTACGGCAGGTATAGGAATTTAGTATCATCTTATTTATTTATTTATATATCTGTTTTCCTCTGTACAAAACCGTGTTTTTGCCCCTAAATTTTCTGACTGTGATGTTAATACAATATATTTGATTGAAGGGATGGCCAGAAGTCCAACTCCGGCTGTGAACAAGAAGAAAAGATCAAGGACAAGAAGTTAGATGATGAGCAACTGCAAGAGACCAGCTAGCATGTCTAATATATGTAACATTTTCAATTTGGATCTGTAGAAGAGAGGCATGATTGGTTGCAATATATATATATATATATATAAAATCTATTGAGAAATTTCACTATGGAAAGAATAGTCTTGAAAGTTAAACAGGTCCATCATATTATTAATCTAATTTATTGCTATTTGTTCATATTTCCCGCCTGTGCAAAACAGTATTTTTTGTCTACAGTTCCCGACTCATTTTCCGTTTCGGATACGTATGTGGTAAATATATTTCTTACAGTTAGTAAATTACGGTTTAGGTGCCCTTTGAATTGCCATAAAATCAATACTTTACATGCCTTAGAGTCGACTCAAAAATTTCTTTTAGGTTGTATTAATACACTAGACTGTTTGAAAGCAGACTTAGAAAGCCATGATAGAGGGTGAAATGATTATTTTGTAGAAAATTATTGCTTAATCATTAAAATTGGTCTCTGTCACGTTTCGAATTTCCCACCGTCGAGATCGTGATGGCGCCTAACTTTTCGGAATGCTAGGCAAGCCAAAAGATAAAGATTCAATATGCTAACCACTATCCAATTCAGTAAATAACAGCAATTAAACTAAACAGATTAAAGGAATGCAGAATTTCATAATAATCCAAGTACTAATACACGACTACCCAAAATCTGGCGTCACAATCCACAAACTACTAAGAGTCGCTACAAATACTGGCAGAAAGAAAAATAAAATACAAAATGTTCTCGAATTAAAAGAAAACAGGAAACTAGGATAACTCGAAGGGGACTCCAGGGTCTGCGAACACCGACAAATCTACTTTGGGTCTCTTGTTGGGTTGAAGGTAGCAGCTCAAATCGGGTTAGCACGGTTCGGTACCCAAATCTGCACAAAAAGTGCAGAGTGCAGTATCAGTACAACCGACCCCATGTACTGGTAAGTGCCGAGCCTAACCTCGGCGAAGTAGTGACGAGGCTATAGGACAAGACACATATATAAACTTGTGCAGTTATACAATATGCTAACAAAAATAACAATTAACAGAAGATAAACAGACATTTACGGGAGGGGAAACATGCTGAGGGTTATCAAAACAGAGAATCACAGCAGTGGAGGAATTTAACACAGCTAGTAGACCTTGAACCGGTAATAACAAGTAAACACAGCAAACTGAAAAATGCACGGCATCTCCCTTCGTGCTTTTACTCTCAACCTCACCAGATAATCAATAATGAAAACGTGCACGACATCACCCTTCATGCTTTATCACTCTTCCTCACCATATAAATAATAGAAACGTGCATGGCATCACCCTTCATGCTTTATCACTCTTCCTCACCATATATATAATAGAAACGTGCATGCCATCACCCTTCGTGCTTTATCACTCTACCTCACCAAACAAGAGACAACAATAATAAAGAGGTAGAAATGGCAATAACAAGCCTTACTTGAACACTTAATTCCACAATACCAATCTCAACTTTGGGTAAAAACCCCATCAATACCAAATTGCATAAAACATGATAAGAACTTCTCAACACATCGATTAACTAGTCTACACATGAACAATATGATCAAAATATAACATATCCAAGAATAAAGCTCATTCACATGTTATGACTCGACAACAACGTATAGATACTCGTCACCTTTCCTATACATCGTACTCAACAACTAAGCACGTAACAAATAAGCAAATAACACCTAATCCCTCAAGCCAAGGTTAGCCACAACCTTTACGTCGCTCCTCCGGCCAAAATCAAGGCTCAATCACCGCTTTTCCCTTCACACACGGCTCCAGACCAATAGAATGTAGCAATTTATCAACCAAACAATTCAGTTTAAGCCTTAGGAACTATCCATGATAGCAAGAAATTCAATCTAGGCCATTTTGGGAAAAAAGTCAACAAAAGTCAAAACCTAGGTCCGTTTGGTCCAAACCTAAAACTCGGACCAAAATCCGATCACCCATTCACCCTCGAGCCCCGATATTCAATTGGTTCTGGAATCCGACCTCAATATGAGGTCTAAATTCCCAAATTTCAAAATCCCTAGCCTCTATCCAAAAATCCCCAATCCCACCAAGAAAATCCTAGATTCTAGGTTGTAATCTTGTTATAAGAAGTGAAAGATTAAAAGAAAAGAGTTAAGAATCATTTACCTATGATTTGGGGAAGAACTAGCCATTGGAAAATCGCCTCTTGAGGTTTAGGTTTTGAAAATTTGGGAAATGAATCAAAAATCCCGTCTAAGTCTCTCTTACACAGCTGCAAATGTTGCAATTGTGACCTGTGCTTCGCAATTGCGAAGGGAACATCGCAAATGCGAAGTCCTTCACACCTCTGCTGCCTTCGAAATTGCGAAGGAATGTTCGCAATTGCGACAAGATGATCGCAATTGCGATCATTGCCCTCCCAGTGTTATTTCGCAAATGCGAAGACTGCAGGGCCCAACTTCTTATCACAATTGCAATGGAAGCCTCGCAAATGCGTAACCTGCTGGGTTCGGAATTGCGATGCCTGATCTTGTAATTGCGAGATCATAGGCCTGCAACAGGTTCAGTCATACCAACAACTTTTTTAAGTTCTAAAACACCGCGTAGCCTATCCAAAACTCACCCGAGCCCTCAGGGCTCCAAACCAAATATGCACACAAGTCTTAAAGCATCATACGAACTTGCTCGTGTGATTAAATCGCCAAAATTACATCTAAAACTATGGATTTAACATCAAAACACATGAAATTGTCAAGAACACTTAAAATTCTTGTTTTCACAACCGGACGCCTGAATCACGTCAAATCGACTCCGTTTTTCACCAAATTTCACAGACAAGAATTAAATATTATGTTGAACCTGTACTAGGCTCCGAAACCAAAATTGAGCCCAATACCAACGAGATCAAACATTAATCAATTTCTTTAAATCCTTAGATTTTCAGTTTAACAATTTTTAACAAAAATTCATTACTCGGGCTAGAGACCTCCGAATCTGATTCCGGGCATACGCCTAGGTCCCATATTTTATTATGACCCCCGGCTCAAACCACCTAATCGGCGATCGACACCGTCTACCATATAATGCCTCATAGGGAGCCATCTGGATGCTCGACTGATAGCTGTTGTTGTAAGCAAACTCTACTAACGGCAAGAACTGATCCCAAGAACCTCCAAAGTCAATAACACAGGTGCGGACCATATCCTCCAAAATCTGAATAGTACGCTCGGATTGCTCGTCCGTCTGAGGATGAAATGCTGTACTCAACTCAACCCGCATACCCAACTCACGTTGTACTACCCTCCAGAAATGCGAGGTAAACTGCGTACCTCGATCAGAAATAATAGACACGAGCACACCATGAAGACGAACGATCTCACGGATATAGATCTCTGCCAACTGCTCCGAAGAATAGGAAACTACCACATGAATGAAATGCGCTGACTTAGTCAGCCTATCCACAATGACACAAAATGCGTCGAACTTCCTCTGAGTCCGTGGGAGTCCAACAACAAAATCCATAGTGACACCCTCCCACTTCCACTCAGGAATCTCAATCTTCTGAAGCAAACCACCAGGTCTCTGATGCTTGTACTTTACTTGCTGACAATTTAAACACCGAGCTACATATGCCACAATATCCTTCTTCATCCTCCTCCACCAATCGCAAGTCCTGATTAATCTTAGCGGCACCGAAATGAATAGAATACCGGGAACTATTGGCCTCCTCTAGAATGAACTCACGGAGCCCATCCACATTAGGCACACAAATACGACCCTGCATCCTCAATACTCCATCATCTCCAACCGTAACCTGCTTGGCATCTCCGTGCCGCACTGTGTCCTTAAGGACAAGCAAATGAGGATCATTATACTGCCACTCCCTGATACACTCAAACAAGGAAGACTGAGCGACTGTACAATCTAAAACACGGCTGGGCTCAGAAATATCCAACCTCACGAACTCATTGGCCAAAGCCTGAACATCTAATGCAAGCGGTCTCTCACCAACCGGAATATATGCAAGGCTGTCCATACTGGATGACTTCCTACTCAAAGCATCGACCACCACATTGGCCTTCCCGGGATGATACAAGATGCTGATATCATAGTCCTTTAATAGCTCCAACCACCTCCTCTGCCTCAAATTGAGCTCCTTTTTCTTGAACAAATATTGCAAACTCTTATGATCCGTGAATACCTCACGACACGCCGTATAGATAGTGCCTCCAAATCTTCAGCGTGTGAACAATGGCTGCCGACTCTAAGTCATGAACTGGATAATTCTTCTCGTGGATCTTTAGCTGCCGCGAAGCATATGCAATAACCTTGCCACCCTACATCAACACCGCACCAAGTCCAATACGAGATGCGTCATAACATACTGTATAGGGCCATGAACCTGTGGGCAACACCAACGGGGCACCCTTCTGGGTCAACCTGATCATCGGGGCTACAATAGATGAAAACTCCTCACAAACCGGCGGTAATAACCCGCCAAACCAAAGAAACTACGGATCTCTGTGGCTGAAGTAGGTCTAGGCCAATTTCGAACGGCCTCAATCTTCTTAGGATCCACCTGAATACCCTCTATTGATACAACGTGACCCAAGAAAGCAACTGAACTCAACCAAAACTCACATTTTGAAAACTCAGCATATAACTGGCTGTCTCTCAGAGTCTGAATAACGATCCGTAGATGCTACTCATGCTCCTTTCGGATGTGGGAGTAGATCAAGATATCATCAACAAAAACAATCACAAAGGAATACAAATAGGCCTTGAACACTCGGTTCATCAAATCCATAAATGTCGCTAGGGCATTTGTCAGCCCAAATGACATCACTAGAAACTCATAATACCGAGTCCGAAAAGCTGTCTTAGGGACATCGGATGCCCTAATCCTCAATTGATGGTAGCCAGACCTCAAATCGATCATTGAAAACACTTGGGCACCCTGAAGCTGATCAAATAAGTCATCAATCCTCGGCAATGGATACTTGTTCTTGATGG